TGTCCATCTAATGAACAGAATAGAACACTGTGAGCAAGAATTACACTGGAGCTTTATAGACGGTTCCAGGTTTCTGTTCCTTTTACACTTTTTCCCATGCAGAGTTAGGTTCCCTTTAATGAGTTCTTCCCCCATGTCATTTATCAGGTTGTGAATTGTGCACAATGCTTGTAAATTTACTGATGGAGGTCAGAGCTCTGCTTTCTCTTTGTAAAGCTGTCACCTCACTGGCAAATTTGAGAGATTGCTTGGCCTATAACCATTTACTAATCTTAAAATCCTAACAGGACAATGTGTAACTCCCCAGAAGGTAAGAAAGGAGAGCTAAAGCAAGAATAATAATGTAGTAGCCTAGCAAGCATCAAGGATGTTGGGTTAGGCTGGCCACCAGCTGATTTTAATAAGGGTTCAAAATTCTTTGAGGGGAACACAAGTTTATAGGATCATTTGGGATGAATTAGAGCCAGCCAGCCTTTGCTCTTTGTTTTCTTCTGGTTTTTATTTTTTCTATTAATCTGATTTTTTTTCTTTAAAATGCAAAAGGAAACTAGATCTGCTCACAAGGTAGAAAGTTGTTGACTCCATTGCTGTGAAACGTGGACGTGTGTGAGCTACCCCAGCCTGCTTCATGGAAGCTCAGTGCTCAGGGTAAGCTTTGCTCCGTTCCCCAGAGAGAGTAACCTGTGTCCCGATCCGCTTTTCCTAGGTTTCCCTAAGCACCACAGAGGCTGCACTCGCACTAAACAGGTATATATGTTCTGCTGTGCTCCCACTCCTTACAAGATGCGCCCCTCTCTTTGCCGGAACAGAACATTGCACCTCTCTGATCGATTCTACGCTGCAGACAATATACAGGCTTTCCAAGGGACGTTCCCTCACCAAAGCACAGAGGGACACTATAGAAGAATGTTTGCTTGCCATTTGCAAGTAAGTGTCCTTCTCATGTTTTTACTTCCATGTATGTATCCAGGTCAACTGCGTTTAACTGTGTAATCCAAAAACTGGTGAAACAGTCTAAGGAAGCTTCCAGGCCTTCACCAGACACCAGCTGTCTTCCAAACGTCTCCTCTTGGGATGCACTTGGTCCTCCTACATACCACAGGCTCATCCTTGAGGCTCATCTTTTGCTCTGGGAAGAAGGCACAGCTCAGTCTTTAGCCCACAGGATTGATAGACCAAGAGACTGTCTTTTGGCCATGAAGTGTTCAGATTAAAGAATGGTTGTTTCATTCTCAAGATAGAGCCAGAAGCAGATTTTTCTGCCCTCTAAATGAATGGACCTTACACAAAGGCCAGACTGTAAGAGTATGAAGAAAGTGACCTACCTCCAGGTCTCCCAGGACCTTGGGCAAAATAAAGAATCTCCAGTCCCAGTGGGGAATTAAAGGCAATAGTTTTTACCACTGCAGATGGGCATCAGAGCCAACTGAGGACAAAAAATAAAGATTTTCCAAGAACGTTGGGTCCTCAGGAATCTACGTTGTCTGGTAAAGTCAAAGGAAGAAGGCTCTTTCAATAGCAGGTCTCAGCACAGGCCAGGACTATGATCTGCTGTTTTAAGCCAGTGTTTTTCCTTCTCAGCTGCATATTAGAATCACCTGATGAATTACTGAATAAATCCCAGTGTCCGGGCCACACCCCAGCCCAAAAGATCAAAATCTTGAGGGATGGGACCCAAGATTCTAGCTTTTGAAGCCCCCAGATGATTCCAATATGCAGCCGAGACTGAGAATCACTGTTGCAGGTGGCCCTGGAAGAGGATCAACAGGCTTCCCCTCTAGGGGCCAGCTGCGTATGGTCCTAATTCTCGCTGAATGAGGTTTTTCCTGATCACATGAGAAATGCCTATACATTTTGGGGGCTGCCTAGAAAAAAAAAGTTATCATTCCTTTTAGAACATCACACCACAAGGCAATCTCAACAATGAGCTACCACGACACACAGAATGGCCAGGAACACTGACATCACCAAATGCTGGCAAGGATATGGAGCAATAGGAACTCTGATTCATTGGTGGTGGGAATGCAAAATGCTGTGGCCATTTTGTGAGACAGTTTGGTGATTTCTTACAAAACTAAACAGACTCTTAACCACATGATCCAGCAATCATGCACCTTGGTATTTATCCAGATGAGTTGAAAACTATGTCCACCCAAAAACCTGCACACAC